AGTTTTAGAGATATAATTCAAATGCCATACAAGATGCTTATTTCTTTTTTTGCAGAGCCAGAACGGAAGCTAGGGCCTGGTGTAGACCAGGCAAGCATTCTCTCAGAGCTCCACCCTTGAGCCCTTCACTTATTCTTAGTTTTTGCAGGACATTCACAGGGTTGTAGAATAACACAACCTAAAATTAGTCATCATAACCTAATATTATAACCTGATTTTAGAACATTTCCATTGTCACTAAGAGAAACCCTGCACTCCCTCGCAATTATTCTCTATGCGCCCCAATTCCTCCACTGGGCAAACAGGAATCTACTTTCTATGTCTGTAGATTTGTCTATTCTGGACATTTCATACAGATGGAATCATATAGCATGTGGTATTTTGTGACTGGTTTGGATCTTAAATGTCCCCCAGAGTCCCATATGCTAAAGGCTAGGTTGCCAGTCTGTGTGTGATAGTGGGGTGGCAGAATCTATAAGAGGTGAGGCTTAGTTAAAGGAAGTCAGGTCATTGGGCACACTCTTGAAGGGGAAGAGGAGAACCTGGCCCTTCCTGTTTTCTGACCACTAAGAGTAGGACAGTCTTCCCCCATCACCCTCTCCACTGCTGTGCTGCACTGGGCCACCACAGGCCCAAGGCAACCAGACCAAGGGAGCATGGCCTTCGACCTCTGTAACTAGCAGAGAAAACCACTCTTCCTATTCAGTTGACTTTCTCAGGTGTTTTGTCAGAGATGGAAAAATGACTAACACACACTTAGCATATTTCCAATGTTCATCCACGATATTTCATTAATTCCATTGTTATGTGATGTTTTATTTATTCCTTCATCAGCTGATACACACTTACTATTTCTGTCTCCTTTATGACTTTAATGACTAATGGTGTTATGACATTTGTGCCCATGTGGATGTGTTTTCATTTCTTTTCTGTGTATCCAGGAGTGCACTTGCTGAGTCACATGATAACTCTGCAACTTAAAAAAAAATTGTTCTAATTAATTATACATGGCAGCAGAATGCATTTTGATACATCACACTTAAACAGAGTAAAACTTCTCATTTGTCTGGTTGTACACGATGTAGAGTTACACAGGTCATGTAATCCTATTTGCATGTAGGGTAATAATGTCTGGATTCTTTCTACTATCCTTCCTATCCCTACATCCCCACTCCTCCCATCAGTCTAGTACAAAATACCTCTCTTCTCTCCCCATTATTGTGAATTAGCATCCATATATCAGAGAAAACAGTCAGCCTTTGGGTCTTTGGGATTGGCTTATTTTGCTTAGCATAATATTCTCCACTTCCATCCATTTACTGGCAAATGCTATAATTTCATTCTTCTTTAAGGCTGAGTAATATTCCTCTGTGTGTGTGTGTGTGTATTTCTTTATCCATTTTTCTGTTGAAGGGCACCTACTTTGGTTCCATAACAGCTACTGTGAATTGAGCTGCTATAAACATTGATATGGCTGCATCACTGCAGCATGCTGATTTTAAGTTCTTTGGGTATAAATCTAGGAGTGGGATGACTGGGTCAAATGGTGGTTCCATTCCAAGCTTTCTTAGGAATCTCCATACTGCTTTCCATAGTGGTTGCACCAATTTTCAGTCCCACCAGCAATGTATGAGTATACCTTTTTCACCACAACCTCCCCAACATTTATTGTTGCTTGTATTCTTTTTTTTTTTTTTTTTTTTTTTAAATTTTTTTTTAATATTTATTTTTTAGTTTTCGGCGGACACAACATCTTTGTTTGTATGTGGTGCTGAGGATCGAACCCGGGCCGCACGCATGCCAGGCGAGCGCGCTACCGCTTGAGCCACATCCCCAGCCCCCAAGTTGCTTGTATTCTTGATGATTGCCATTCTGACTGGGGTGAGCTGGAATCTCAGTATAGGTTTTGATTTGCATTTCTCTAATGCTAGAGATGTTCAACATTTGTTTATATATTTGTTGATCAATTGTATTTCTTCCTCTGTGAAGTATCTGTTTAGTTTCTTCGCCCATTGTTGATTGGGTTATTTGTTTTTCTGCTGTTAAGTTTTAACTTTTTGAAGAACTGGCAGGTTTTTGCCCAGTGGCTGTGCCATTTTCCGTCACAATCAATGATGTGTGGGTGCTCTAATTTCCTCTTCTCCAACATTTATTACTGTATTTTTGGTTACATTATTGAATTATTTAAGGTCTTTAAGCAAGTGCAGATGGAAGTCTTTTTTAAGACATCTCCCATCATTGCCTGGCCCAGCTGTCAAGTACCCCAAAGGCATATAGTGCTGAAGATTAAACCTAGGGCCTTGGACATGCTAAGCAAGTGCTCTACTGAGTTACATCCCAAGCCCCAATATTTGTTGAATAAATGGAAAAGTGCCCTTTCATTTGTATATTGTCCTCAGAAGGCATTTTGAAGTGGTGAAGTTCACAATAACCCTGTAGAGAGGAGTGGGAATATGATTCCCATTACAGACCTGAGGAAAATAAGGTGAGAAAGGTCAGGTGACAATGAAATGTGTAGAGTCCTATGTCTAGCCCTCTCTCTACAATCAGACACCAGTCCTCAGTATTGCTTCTAAATACCACATTAGTTAATGTTTAGAAAAGAATGTTAAGAAGCTTCAAAAGAGCTTAGTATATTAAAAAACAAAACAAAACAAAAACAAAAACCAGTAACAGAACAACTCAGCAGAAGCTGAGGGACCTAAATGCTTTGGCAGTTTGGAGACTGCTAATTATGGTTCTGGCACCGTTGTGGGGGATAGAGAGCGCACTTCTAACTTTAGCAAACAAATTCTTCACCTTTCAAGTAGAACTGGTAGCTGAGCATTTCCTGGGCTAGGAAGTTAGGGAGTTTTAAAGAGCACTGTATATCAGGTGAGGGAGACCTATTTTGCTTTATAGACCACATTATTGGAGAACCAGCTAATCCAGAAAGGAAGGTAATTGATCATAATTTTCTTACCATATTCAAATTAAAACTGTCTTTCTTTTTGTGTTATGCATCTCAAACATACAGGAAATATCAAGAAAATAGTATAATAAACCCCTATGGGTCAGCAAACAAACAAACAAACAAAAAAACTATTAACATTTTGTTATGCACTTATCTTTTATTTATTATTAAAGTGGTATGGGCAATTGAACCCAGGGGCGTTCTACCACTGACCTACATCCCCAGAGCCCACTTAATTTTTGAGACAGGGTCTCACTAAGTTGCTGAGGCTGGTTTTGAACTTGCAATCCTCCTGCCTCAGCCTTCTGAGTTGCTGGGATTACAGGTGTTCCACCATGTCTGGGTATCCCTAGCCCTTTTTAAAAAAATTTTATTTTTGAGACAGGGTCTTCCTAACTAGCCCAGGCTGGTCTAAGACTTGAGATCCTCCTACCTCAGTCTCCCAAATCCCTGGGATTACCTGTACCACCAGGACTGGCTATTATTTTTTTAGAGATGGGGTATAGCTAAGTTTTCCAGGTTGGCCTTGGACTCTGAGCTCAAGGAATCTTCCTGCCTCAGGCTCCAGGATAGCTGAGAGCCGCTGCCCCTGGCTGCAGTGACTTTTAAATAAATGTTTGTATACAGTAATATTTTCTTTCTTTCTTCTTCCTCTTCTTTTTTAGTACTGGAGATTGAACCCAGGGGCATTTTACCCCTGAGCTACAATGGCAGCCCTTTTTATTTTGAGACAGAGTCTTACTAAATAGCTGAGGCTGGCTTTGAATTAGCAATCCTCCTACTGCAGCCTCCCAATTGCTCATTGGATACAGTGAAGCTTTCTTTAAATTAATAATCAGATCATTTTAGTGCATGCATATGAGAAATGATCAGAGTAGGATAAAATGATCTTGTTACTAGCACCATGAACTTGTAACCTTTGATCTTTCTTCATTTAGGTTTGCAGGGATGAGAAGCTGCTGAGTTGGCAACACACGTGATTGAGGACTTAAGAGTGGGAGGTCCAAAAGCTAGGAAAAAGATTTTGTTCATTCATTTCTACATTCATTCATTCAATCAGAACACCCTGGCACTTTTCAAACACACTATCTCCCAACCAGCCAGACCATGCTTACACTCAGACTTGCGCAGGAATCAGGTTTCATCATTACTGACCTAAGACCTTGGACCAGCTGCCTTTGAATCTGTTTCTTCTGAAAAATAAAGATAACCTTATTGAACAAGGCACGGTCAAAAGCGAGGTAAGACACCGAGAAATGTGTGTAATCTGTATCCTTTGTCCCTTCTGCCACCGTTATTCTGCTAGGCTTTCAGGGCGCCAATAAAAAGATCATACAGCAGGAGTGTCTCTCCGAATATCTCCTTCCTCCAACCTAAGCGGGCAGCGAAAAGCTCAGAGGTTCCAAAGCTCAGGGTGCCAAAAGCCCTCCCAGTGACAGCATTCATTTATCTTCCCAAACCATTCAAATTCTAATCTCATGTTACCTGCCTGTCTTTAGGTATTGCTGCTCTACAAAGATAATCTACGCTAAACCCTGCAGCGGTCCGAGGTCAAATGCTTGGCCCGCAGGTTGGAGAACCTCCCAAGACGCCCGATTTGGTCCAGAGGAGGGCAACGCGCCAGGGGGCGGGCTGCCGAAGCCGCCCAGCAGCTTTCTCCAGGTCTTCGGAAACCTTCAGCCCAGGGGGCGGTTCTGAGCAGGAGGGGCGGGAGGATTCAGCACCGCCCTCGCCACCTTCAGGGTCGGTGCCTTAGCGCTGATCTCGAACTTCTGTAAAGTCTGCTGCCGGGTCCTGGTTCCAGCACGTGGGTGCCTCCACGCCGGGTGCTGTGCTGCGTGGCCCGCGTGGCCCCTCTGTTCAGGCGCCTCCGCGGCCCTCACCCTGCACCTGTGCACAGCCCTCGGCTCCCTGAGCGGACGGCCTAAGGGACCTTGGGTGCTCTCGCGCTGGGCTCGCCGCTTCTGGGCTCCCGGCAGCGGCTGCGGCGGCGGCGGCGGCGGCGCGTAGCGGGCGCCCCGAGGCGGCCCGGGAGGCGGGGACGGGGCGTGCCGCCGGCGCCCGGTTCCCGGAAGCGGCTGATTGTCTGGCTCCCGCCGAGCGGACCGGCGCGACTGCCCGAGCTGCAGCATCCCAGGAGCAGGAGCTCGCGAGCCACCGCCGCCCGAGCCGCGCGCCCCAGCCCCGCGGCAAGATGCTGCCCGTGCACCCGGAGGTGAAGCCCAACCCGCTGCAGGACGCCAACCTCTGCTCGCGCGTGTTCTTTTGGTGAGTACCTCCCGCCGCCGCCGCCCGGCTCGCGCCCGATGCCGCGTCGCCGTTCCCGGGAGCGGGCGCGTTCCTGTGCGCGGCCGGTGCGTGGCGTGTGCGCCGGGGAGGGGGACGCGGGGACCTGGTGGCGGGCGCAGGTGGAGGCCCCTTCTGCCGATGATGCCCAGTGGGAGGTGCGGAGGCGGGGAACGAGTCTGCCCGGAGGCGGAATCTTGCCCAGCAGAAGCATCTCCGGGACCCCGGGACCCCCACACGCCCACCTACCGCCCGGGATTCGCAGCTCTTCCGCATTAAAATGCACTTTTTTTTTTCCAGTTTAAATAAGCAGCTGTAAGATCTGCCCTTTTCGCAGCCTGATCAACGTCCTGGAACCGCTAGTGCCATCTCCCAATGGTGTCCCCTACCCCTCTGATTCTCCCTACTGCACGACTCATTCCTGCTGCACCTGCTCCGCCTGTGTGTGCCCGCGTGTCTGTTGTGACTGAGTGTCTGAATCCTTGGCCTCTATGACCCTGGCTTTCTGTTGGTGTGTTGTGTCGTGGTACCTAGTTATGACAGGTTTCATGTAAAATAAGGCTATTACTATTTTAAATGGATGAATGGGGACATTATTCTTAAACAGAAACTGCCTCCACGTTTTACTTTTGGCGGGGACACTCATAGCCACTCTGTAGTATGTCTTTGACCAGACCCTTTCCCTTTTTGGTGGAATCTTCATTTCTGTCTTTGAGGACTACTCTGGGGGTGCGCTGTCTAGTCTTGGGAGAGGTGATCTATGGGCTTGATGCAAACTCTTTTCCTAAAACAACTGGTGGTCCAGAGCTGGGAGGTCCCCAGCCTTACCCGGCTTGCTGGAGGAAATAGGTGACAAGATTTTAGATAAAGAGGCCTATTATTTGCATCTAGCAGCCTGGTTACTAATGTGGACCGGAGCCTTTGGGATTTAATCACACTTGGTTGATTAGAATAGCTTTTGTTTCTTGACCTCAGTTCTTTCATCTTTCCCACATATTCTAGTATTTCCTTTTTAATGGAAAACCTAGGGAATCCCAAGAAAACTAGTCATCTCTTCTTGTTTTAATTGTGGTGTATTCAGAGGTTTAAGGACCTGCTCTTGGCAGATTGGAGGCCCTTAGGGAGAAAGAGGGGTGTGGTGGAGGAAGGAATATGGGTGTGGTTAACATAAAACATAACTCAAAGTAGGCAAACTGTCTCCTTCAGGCAGGTCACAGAACTCTCCATTCACATTCCATTTGTGGGTTTTCAGAATGTAGGCACGGGAAAGCCAGGCCTGGTGGTGAATCTCTGTAGTCCCAGCTGCTTGGGACACTGAGGCAGGAGGATAACTTGAACCCTGGAGTTTGAGACCAGTGTGGGCAACAAAGTGACATCCTGTCATTAAAAAAAAATGTAGATAGAATAGATTCAGGGAAATGGGAAGGTAAGGAGTTGATGACTGGGTGGGCACCATTTTTGTTTCCCAGTTGGAGGGGAAGGAACCATTATCTCTATTTACATTTGAACTCAAGCTGAGATATTTTGGTTAAGTTGCCTAGGATCACACTGCTACTAAGGTTTGGAACCACCTGGACAGTCCTAACTGCTGTACTGAGTGGCTTCACTGGGGAGTTTGCTCCTGAGTGCACTGAGGGGGCTGTTCCCCTTGCTCTGGCAGGTTGGAGTTTCTCAGGGGAAGTTCTTAACATTCCTGTTTTTTTTTGGGGGGGGTGGGGGGGGGTACCAGGGATGTAACCCATAGGTCCTTACCCACTGAACCACATTCCTAGCTCCTTTTATTTTTTGAGACAGGGTTTCCTTAAGTTAGTTAGAGCCTCACTGAGTTGCTGAGGCTGACTTTGAACTTGCAATCCTCCTGCCTCAGTCTTCTGCCTGGCTAACATTCCTATTTTTTTTTTTTTTTTAAAGAGAGAGAGAGAGAGAAATATTTATTTATTTATTTTTTTTAGTTTTCAGCGGACACAACATCTTTGTATGTGGTGCTGAGGATCGAACCCGGGCCGCACGCATGCCAGGCGAGCATGCTACCGCTTGAGCCACATCCCCAGCCCCCATTCCTGTTTTTTGGAGATGATGAACATGAAACATCTCTTGGTGGTTCTCAAAGTGGGGTGTTCAGATTTTCAGCATTAGTATCAGCTGGGACCTTGTTAGAGATACAAAGTCTCTAGCATCTATTCCAGACTGGTTCAGTAAAACTAGAAACTGTGTGTGTGTATGTATTCCAGGTGGGGCTAATTTAAGGTTAAGGATGGTTCACAGCTTTAACCTGCTTCTGTGGGCCTTGCTATTCCAGTGTTTTACTTTTAAAAGGGGTTGTGACTGGAGAGTCAACTGGTGACCATCCTATATTTACTTACCTTCTGTAGTTTGAGAAATTGTAAAGTCTGAGGCCACTTAGTGCTGTCCTTGTGTATCTCACCTTGCAGCAAGCTAGAAACTGAAACTATAGCCAGGGAGTGGCCTCCTGGAGACAATGCCCACCTTAGAGAAAAACTGATTCTTCACCTTTTTTATTGGGTATTTGATTTTCTTCTCAAATTTCATCTGCTTTTTGAACTTGTAGCTGCCTACCCAAATGATGCCAGTAACTAGCTTACTGACTTTTATACAAAATGTGCCACTGGAATTTTGGTGTATTCATAACACAGTTTGGATTTGGGCTGTACATTATGGCTATTAATAATGGTTGTGGATTTTTGAAAACAATATTTTGTTTTCTATTTCTGCAAGAAATTTAAAACTTGAAACAGGAGAGGAAAAAGGATGATTTCTGTCATCTGGGTACAGTAGCTGTTTCAGTTGGTCTTTGCCCTAAACTTTTTTTTTTTTTTTTGCCCTAAACATCTTCACACATCAGCACACATACTCATACACTCATGCTTTTTATAAAACTGTAAATAGTTTCGAATCTTGATTTCTTCTTAATTTTTGATGGTTATCGTTCATAGTACTAAATATTCTACACATGATAATCACTATAATTTCTTCAGTATTTCATTATAGTTGAACATCATTTATTTCTAATGATTACACATGTTTATTTATGCCCATATTTTGGTGCAATTTTGCCGAAGTCTGGCTGGGCGCAAAATAACCGAGCCGCCACAAAGCCTTGTAGGTTCAAAAAGCAACTCTTTATTCCCGAACTCTTTCTGGCATTCTACACACACTTCCTGGGAACACACTCCCTCCACAGGGCTCTGCACACTAATTCTCCCGGAACCCCAAGAGAACTCAGGAACCCCAAGAGAACTCAAGGGGAACTCCAAAGTAGAGGCTGCCTGAGGCAGCAGGATCTGCCCTAATCCCCCCAGGATCCGCCCTAATCCCAGAGCAAGGTCACCTTTCAACCATTCCCTCTAGCAAAATGCCAGGTGTCATTCCCACTAAACTGTGGCTCTCAACACAATTTGTGTGTGTGTGTGCGTGAGCTTGTGTGTGTGTGTGTGCACACGCGCGCGGGCTTTGAGGTGAACGCCTTGGGTGGGCTAAACATGCATCTACTACTGAGCTACACGCCCAGCCCTATTAATATATCTGATTCAGTTTCCAGGATCACCTATATCTCTATGCATTTTCTGTTAGCTATTTTCTTATTGCATTCCTAAAAAAAAATAATGAAGACAGTTAGAATTTCTTTTTGTATTTGATATAAGGTAGGCCCATTTTTTTCTAAAATAGCACATTTTCTCATCACTGTTTGTTGAATTTTTTTCTCCTCTGTAACTGAAAACAGGTGGTATGATTTTTGAACCCTGTCCAGCTGAGCATGAGATTGATTGTCCAAGCCCTTGAGACTTGCAGGAATCGCGCAGCAAGCCTCTTGGGTGTGCTCTGCCTCCTCTGCCTGGCCTCTGGTGAGGAGGTCTTGGGTTAGCAGCAGGTGGAAGGTTAACAGTGAAGCTTTTCCCTAAAGGGGGTTATTGAGTGGATCCTGGAGTCAGATGCATTTTGTCTGCAAAGAATGGTTAAGTCCTTGCTCCGCGTTGTGTGTCTGAGTTGGTGAGATGTCATCTTGCAAAGCCCGAACTGTTGTAGAAACTGCCGTTGGTGACAATATAGACTCTCTGGAGACTCATCTTAGAGAAAGCTGATGACATAAGGGTAGAAATGTAAATGGCTTCGAGAGCTTGGCGTCCTGAGGCCCTCAGTTAGTGCCTAGAAGTAGAATTTTAATATTTGGTACCGTTTTTTGGAATATCTCCTACATGCATCTCTTTCTTATTATTCTTCATTAATAGTCAGAAGTCCAAATATTGTAGACAGGAGGCTGAGTTATCTTTCCAGGGCTCTTTGATCTGATTTCTTTTCTTCTCCCTTAAGCATGGTTTGACTTTTGGCAATTTTATATAATAATTATAGCCTCAAACAAGATAGGGTACACCCCCAAAGGTGTATTAAAATTTGCTGCTAATTCTTTATAGTGTAACACATTTTAGAATTTTAATCTCCTTTTCTTTCCTTTGCCTTTGTCCTGGTAGCCCTGCATGACAGGTGTCAACTAGTGTCCCTTGCAATATGTCAGGTGGATAGTTTGTCTTTCTAAGTCCCCTTGAGACCCTGATTATGTTGATTGTCCTGCCTCCTTGAGTTGTACTTCCTGGTCCAGTGCTCTGCTGTTGCTGGGTTGTGGAGCTTGGGTACCAGGGACATGGTGAGCTTCATCCTAAGTCATCCTTACACCTTTTCCATGGGGCCAAGGAACCCTATCCGTCACCATCACCAGGAGCTGCCTCCTTGCCTTTCCTCTATGAGTTGTGAGCCCCTGCAGGCATTTCTTTGATGAGTCAGTGTATGTGACTGGTGTAGAGGTGAAAGCCCAGAGCATTGGGAGGAAGTCTAGGATTTGAAATTGAACTCAGTCCTGTCCTTGACCTTGAAAATTCAGGGTGGCTGTGTGTGAGTGAATCTTCTGGGAGAGGATGGTTAATGCCTTTCAACCTGTCAGAGTTAAGGACTCAGGAGAGCGCAGGAAG